CGCCTCCGCCCCGTTCCCGTTCCCGTTCCCGTTCCCGTCCCGGCGCGCGGCCGTGTGGAGAGGCCATTGTCCAATCGTCTCCAGTTTCTCCCCCTCCAGCCTCAACTGCGTGAATCAAAGAAGCACAACATAGACTCAGATCCGGGCTCACATGAAGTATCGTTAAAAAGGACAGTTTTCGTTTCGCTTGGTTGGGGTTTTTAGAAAGATACTATTCACTTTAAACAACAAACCACAAATGTGTGGAAGCAGGCACTCTGTTTTATAGGTGAGAGCGGGGAGACGTTGGATGTGGGGAGAGAGGGTGCAGAAGGTAGACACGGGCAGGAAGAGCAACTGTAGGCTCAGACTTGGGGAAGAAAAACAAGACTTCTTGGAATAATGTTTCCTTCTTGTGGTTTTCCCAGATATTGGTCTCTAGGACTAAAATTCTATCTAATCTAATAAAAGAGAAACATGCAAATTGACCGCACCTCCCCTATACCCGTAAGCCACGCCCATAAGCCAATCAGGAGTGAGTATGCAAATTAACACAACTAAGATGGCAGCCGCCATGAAGCTGGAGCAGCAGGAGGCTTGGGTTGTCCCCAGCAATGGAGGAAGCCAAGCTTCCCACCTGCTCCGCTCAAGGCTACAAAGTTTCAATTATAGAAGATAAATAAGTCCCAGATACCTGCTTCCAGCCTGCCTGTGGGCATGGCCAGCCTGAAAATGGCCATCAGCCCCTCACCCAGGCTGGTCAGGCACCCCAGTAGGGCCCCCGACCCTGAAGAGGCTGTGGCCAGCCTGAAAACAGCCCTCAGCCCCTCACCCAGGCTGGCCAAATGCCCATGGGGTAAGGGTCCCCGCTGGGAGGCTTGGCTAGCCTGCAAACAGCCATCAGCCCCTCACCCAGGCTGGCCAGGCATCCCAGTGGGGACCTCCACCCTGAAGGGGATGTGGACAGCCTGAAAATGGCCCTCAACTCCTCACCCAGGCTGGCCAGGCACCCCAGTGGGACCCCCACCCTGATCCAGGACACCCTTCAGGGCAAACCAGCCGGCC